GTGTGTGTGTGTGTGTGTGTGTGTGTGTGTGTGTGTGTGAGTGTGTGCTTCAGCTGAACATCAGTGTTTTCTATGATTTACAACAGAACCAGTGAGAAACACGTTGGAACTATTGTCATATTTCTACATTAATCTTTTCATATTGTTCTAGTTTTTCATTTCACTCACATAAAACCTGCTTTAGTTTTTCTTACATCGTGTTTAAATATGAAACAACAGAAAACCAGAAGCTTCTTTGATCATTTGAAAAACTCTTGATCCTGAATGAATCTCAGTCTCATTCTCCGCCTGCGTCTCTCGATGAACAATTCAAACTGTTTTCAAACTCATTCAATCTCTGACAGAATGTGATCAGGGTTAAAGGGACACATGAGCAGCTTAGTTCGATATAACTCATGTGATTAAAACAAGTTTAATAAGAGAATCTTCATGTGAAGAAAAAGGAATCTCCTTCCTGTCGTGTTCAATTCAGACTCTACTGTAGTTTCATGCTAACAAAGACGCGGCCTAAACGCGTTAGTGCTCCTTCCTCCTCGCGCCTTTCATTAGCTGATCCCTTTAGCCTGCACATGAAAAGCTCAGCAGGAATGCACACGATATAATGCAGCAATTTGTGTCTTCAAGGTAGTGATGTGTCCTCGGCAGGCGCAGAATGTCTTCACATCTCTGCCTCTTTGAGTCGGATTGAGCCCATTGTGCTGCGGGAATAAAAACCTGCTGGGTTTCAGTGAAACACACATTCTACTTCTCATTTCTTCTGCCTTTTGGCCAAATTTGACCAAACACTGTGATGCGTCTGTGTGGAAATGATTCCAGGGACCTGAGGGGACCGGGTCATTGGTGCCATTTAGCTTTTGGCTGTTTAGATCATCAGGACAAAGTCCTGACCTGAAATAAATAACTAAATAAGTACTACTATTGGAAAAATATGCAAAGAATACTATGCTTAAACTATACTTGAAGCTGCTATAGTCAATTGTTTGATATTAACAAGTGAAGTGACATTTTTTACCTTATTAAAGTAAAACACTCACATTGTTTTACTGTTCAATCCAACACCAACTTCCCTTTTTAAAGATTTCAGGCTCATCAAATCCTTTGTGTTTATTTATTCGTCCGTCTGTTTGTTTACTGATGTTTCTAAAAGAGTAGAAATGTCATTGATCTCCATTACGGACATTCAGGCTACAGATCCAAACAATAACGGGATCAGTGGTGAATCTGCTCGTGGCGACTAATTGAAAAGGCCGCTCTGCAGCATGGACGCTCTGGAACACTCGTCAGAGGTAAAGTGGGTTAATTGAGCTAAATTTGTCTCAATTAAGGTTCTCACTTTAGAGCGAGATGCAGCCCGGGCCTGTTGAGATGCAGCAGTGAGGGGTCCTTACCTGCACATTAGAGGAGAAGCCATTTTAATAACAAC